CACTATTTACACATAATATGTCAAGAGATTAGTGTGTTATTATTTGTAAATATGATTATTAAAAAATACGTGCCATTTGTTTCATGGAAATGATTCGCATATGATGGTGCTATATACAGAATGATAATTGTTCAATGAGTGGGTTTGTAAATAACAATAAATGTATATTTGGTTATATTGTTGACACGGGGAGTACCAATTAGATCAAAATGATATTATTTATCAGTGATGCCACGTGATGATAATCTTTCCCACAGCCTATTCACTAGGGAGCGAACTTCATTGTATGAGTATGTGTATAAGACTACGGGAAAAGACAGACCGTCTAAGACGAGTCTCTACAAGGTTGAGAGGATATAAAGTCTCTACAAATCATACACGAAATGATATGGCTTGTGTAGCCTATGATCCATTATTATAGAACAGCTATCATCATGCGGATATACAGTGGCGTCTTTATCTCTATTGATGTAAAGGACACTCGCAATGGATGGGTTGAGAGACATGGCATAGAGGTGTTTATGATTTCATCTCCCATGAGTTAGTAGTGACAATGTCTTATTGATTAAGATGCCTCATTAGTTAAAATGATTCATGGCTAGTGACGAGTAAAGAATAAATACTCACCTATGTACGTATATAGTGAGCTACTATGTGCTACTTGTGTATCATGATATTAGTATGTCATTTGTGTGCATTTGAGTGTTAAACTAAATATCAGATCATGGCTTCTAGGTTTAATTCGTTGCATACATGATTATAGTCACCTATTGATAATGCACGACTTATGTCTTAAATGAACTTAAATGATATGTTTGGAAAGTGTAAGTGAATACTCGTTGTTTAGAGTAAATTGATCTTCCTATTACTGAAGAGAGCAAGTGATGAAGAAATTTGACATGGTTGATTAGTATTTGAAACGGCTTTTGTGAATATGTACCGGAATATGTGGATCTTGACATGTTTGTCAATCTAGGTTGTGATACGTGCTCACAAAAGATAAAACAGTTAATATCTTAGATGTGGGTTGGGTTCCAAGTAATTGAATCATGTAGATTACATGTTGTATTTCCTTAAGCGACAGAATTATTCTATTATGAATGTAAATAATTAAGACATGAGGTTAATATATATTTTTACTCTTGTCAAATGAGTGACTGCCATTTTCTAAATTACAGTGATTCCTCAAAATGTAACTTGATATTACTTGTTGAATGTTATTATGCAATTGCATTCTTGGGTTGAGTAGTAAGATGATCTCCTATCTTAGATTTAGAGATTTCATTTACTGAACTTAGGATCATCCAAGATTTTATAAATTAGTCGAGTTCGGAGTTTAGAGACAATTAAGTTAGCGCTTCCAAAGATTTTTTGGAGGACTTGATCAGAGTACGCAGCAAAAGTAGGAGTTTATATTTTGCCCATGGAGGTTTGGTTGTGTATAGAAAAAAATATAATTTGTGTACATCATTTGAGGATAATCTTTTTTCATCTTTCGAGTTTTAAATTGTATGAAAAATTCAGATTGTGACCTGTACAATAGAGAAGAAACTATTCGCCAAAAGTTGGGTCAGTTCTCTATTATAGCGGAGGAAGCGGCACCAACTTCAAAGTTGACCTTTATTTTTTTTGGTCGAAACAAAATCATTTCATTTCATCAAGATAAGCTTCAGCATATACAAGATTCCAAAGGGTTTTCAAAGTTGACTTTATAAGGTAGTATAGATGTCGAAGCACTACTTAACATAGACCGAGAATGTGCGCAACTGATGATACTGGCCGAATATTTGTCCCGCAAAGAAGAAGGCAGGGAGCAAATGCCATAAAGAAAAATTAATGGTAGGATATAAGGGGAAAAAAGAAGGGAAAAAATAGCTCAAAATCTAATTTGTTGATATGCACATCAAATTTGTGGAGCTTGCAAATAACATAAATACATATTGAAGGCGCGACAAATTAAATTTGAATGCATTAACGAGTAATGTTAATCCGGATTGACTTGGCCAATGGGATTTAGCAAAGTTTACCATCCTCTCAAATAGATAAGGAATAGACGTCTATTTAACCACGATCGAGATCGTAATCCTGAATGATATCATTATTTTGTATTTTCGAGAATTTCATATTTTGTGCGTGAAAAAGTTGAATGTCCAATGTCGAAAATCGAAGGTCAAGGAAAACACCCCTGGCCTATAAAGTGACCCAATAATGGGTAAATAAATTTCTTTTCTAAATTGCAGAAAGAAGGCTAAAGAAATGAAATATAAGTAAATTCAAGCATCTTATAAAATTTTATTACATCGTCTGTAATATATGTAAATCAAAAGAACTCCTTTTTTAAAAGAATCTCGATCATTTATTTCTCTAATATACACTTATATAATTACTAGTATTATGTTTACGGACAAATGCATTAGATCAATAATTTTGTTTATCTCTCACGTATTTTAATATTAAACTTTTCATATTTTCTATCCAACAGTAACCTTTTGAAAAAAATTTCAAATCTCGAAAGGCTTTTCTTTCGCATATATTACATTCCCACAAATATTTATACAATTTATTCCTTTCCATTTTTTAATAGTTCAATTATTCTGTAATTAATTAATTTTTTAATTTTCCAAATGCCGATTTTTGGGAAAAGTGTCGGAAAAGTCCTAAAGTTATTGCATTTGTGCCAATTTAATCATAATCTTTTTTTTGTGCAAATTTAGTTATGTCAATTTAGTCCTTCCGATTAATTTTGGCCAAATATTGCTAACATGGAGGCTGGCCTATATGGTACCGTGGGAGATCACATGGACAATTTTTAATAATATATTAATTTTTTTTCTAATTTTATTATTATTTCAGATTTTTTTTCTTTTTTTCTTTCTTTTCTTTTTTTTTCTTCTTCCTTTTGCTGGTGACTAGCCACCGAGCAAGCTGACCTCGCCTAGGCGAGGATCACCGCCAGCCAGGCGAATCCCAGCCAGGACTCCCCTCGCCAAATCTGGCGAGGCCAGCCCGCCTGACCATGGCTAGTGCCCGATCACAGACAAAAGGAAGAAGAAAGAAAAAAATCAAAAAAAAATATTAATTAAAAATTATGTACGTCAGCACCGGTGGTGTCACGTAGACTAGCCGACGTCCACGACAGTAATATCCGATCAAAATTAGCCGAAATGACAGAATTGGCATTATATCAAAAATTTTCTGACTAAATTGGCGTGATGCAATTGGTTTATGACTTTCCCGACATTTTCCCTGCCAATTTTTTGCAATTATTCTGCACATTTGGTAGTATACATAAGTGATAATTTCTTTTTTACAAAGAAAGCAATGCGCTAAGACATCATCGGTCTCGTGAGACTCGGAATAATTTACTTGCATCTGCTGTGAACGCGTTGAGAAGAAGAAGAAGAAGAAGACGGGGAGACCAGGTCGCACTTTAACCCCGTCGTCGACCGTGACGGTGCTCGAAGCTACCATCCACCGCCGGTGGCGGAGGAAGCGACGACTTTCTCATGCTTCTGAAGTTGGTTAATCCCTCGGCGTTGTTGACCAAGTTCCCATTATTTTTTCTTTCTATTTTTTCTCACATCTTACCTTCATCTTCCCTCTCTTTTCCATGAAAAACCCCCCAATCCGCCATGAAAACCACCGGCGGTGGCCAAGCACGCGATTGCACTCCTGACGGCCATGGCCCGAAACATTGCGCAAGCTGCAGTTTCGGTGAAGTCGGGTCAGTGTTTGTTTTATGAATTTCCATCCTTTTTTAGCACTTCTAGTTCTGGCGGTTTGTTCTGTTTTGGCATTGTTTAGTATTATATGTTGGGGTTGTTGATACATGGGGAAGGGACTCAAATGGTAACTGTTAAATTGTCTTTCTGCATCTAGTTAATGCCTATTTACTTGTGAAAACTTTCATGGCGTGATATACTTTTGTCCTTAAAGTTGTCGGAATATATTCCACAATCAGAAGTTACTGAACGATTCCATTGGATCATGGTTCGGTTTCGTGTGGAACAATCAGAAACAAGAACATGGGACCTGGATTATGCGTGTAAAAAGTTTAGCTATACTCATGTGCAACTATGATTTTGCGATCTAAATGGGTACAACAGCAATAATTGGATGCTTTCTCTAAGCGCCTTTTTTGGGAAAAGTTTGTTGCACGCTCCTGGGTCAGACGCACCCAATTGGCGTTACCCGTTAGATTAGGCAATTAGCCCTTCTCTTTTGGAATGACACAGGGTCTAGATGGATTCTTCTCAACCACATACTATAAATTAAAATAACTAACTACATTCTCTTCGGTTTATGAGGTTCCTTTTGACCTTGATTAATCAGGAAGATGAAGGAGGAGGTTGAGTTTGTGAATCTCAGTATATTTATGTAGGGGCTATGTTCACCAACATATTTCCTCATTAATAGTAGCAATGTCTTTCTCAGGGGTTACCTCCAGAACATAGAATTTTGCAGAGGAGCTGCTTGATGATGACAGTTTTCTATAGCTGAATGTCAGATAACCAAACGAATTTTGATCAATCTGGTGTATATTTTTTAATGGAACACTTGATAATAACAGATATTCTATTGTGTACATACTACATATTCTCAAACTGGATAGTCAAACACTCGACTGTTTTGGCTAGAAAGAGGGGGAAACAACTTGACTGTAACAATATGGCCAGAAACTTGAAGCGACTTTTGGCATACATGCATCGGCTAATGCAGGTAAATGGCAATGGAAAACGTATGTGGGCATGTCTCTTTCAGGGAAAACCCTTGCTGTTATGGGTTTTGTAGAGGTTGGGTTTGATGTTGCCTGACGTGCCAAAGGTCTTGGAATGCACGTAATTGCATATGATCCATACGCCTCTGGTCATCTAGCCCGTGCAATTGGAGTAGAGTTGGTTACATTCGACAGGGCCATAGTGAATGCAGATTTCATCTCCTTACATATGCATCTTACTCCTGCTACACAGAAGATGCTTAATGACGTGACCTTTGCAAAGATGAAGAAAGGCGTTCAAATTTTGAATGTTGCTCATGGAGGATTGATTGACAAAGATGCTCTAGTCAGGGCACTTGATTCAGGAATTGTGTCTCGGGTACGTCTTTCTGTTTCACTTTTGTCTTTTGGGGACTGCTAATTATGTCATCTGCAACATTGAACTGATTTCTCTAATAGGCAGCTGTAGATGTTTTGATAGAGGAGCCGCCACCAAAAGACAACAAGCTGGTCCAACATGAGTAAGTTATCGTTACCCCAAATCTTGGAGACTCTACTTTTGAAGGTCAGGTTGATTGAATGGCCCGAGTTTATGAATGCTTGAACTGTTCATTTTTTGTGCCATTAGATGACAGCAAAAGCAATATGCAGGAAGAATTGACTATCGAAATTGCAGAAGCTGTCATTAAAGCTTTAAAGGGAGATCTTCCTTCAACTGTAGTCAACGAACCGATGGTTGCTGCTGAGGTATCATCTGGCATCTTTCTATCGTGTAGCATATACTCTCTTCATGAGATAACACCATGCGGCATAAAAGTTCTCCTTAAAAGCAGCATACTGCATTATTGTTGTTGTATTGTTAATGCATCTACGTTCAGAAGCCATTGCCCTCATTTTCCAAGTATAAACACCATCATCTTCCAGCAATTAATTAACAATTAATGAATAAATATAGTAGAACAAATAATGTTAGTCCTGCATTGATCCTTTGATTTTATGCGAATGCCCATCTATTACGATGTTATCTGAGTTCTAATAAACCTCCTTTTCTGGGCTAAAGAAACCATTCCATTAATATACTGTCATATATATCTGATGATAGTTACCAGTTCTTCTACATTCATTAGAAATATGTCCTGCACATTTCATTGCTCCTTTGTTCTATCAGGTTCTTGCGGAGTTGAAACCATTTCTGGACCTTGCAAACAAACTAGGAAAATTTGCTGTTAAACTAATAGCTGGACGAGGTGGTTTTAAAGCAGTAAAAGTCACGTACGCTTCCGCTAGAGAACCAGATCAACTTGATACGAAACTCCTCCGAGCAGGGTTATCAAGGGCCTGATCGAACCCTTTTCGAGCGTCGTCGTCAACTGGGTGAATGGAGATTCAGTAGCTAAGCAAAGAGGACTCAGAATTTCGGAAGAGCAAGTCACTTTGACCGGCTCCCCAGAGTACCCTCTCGAGTTCATCAGAGTTCAGATTGCAAACGTGGAATCGAGATTCGACAGCGCCTTATCACCATCCGGGGAGATCGAAGTGGAGGGGCAGGTAAAAGACGGACTCCCCTTCAAATAATTATGTGAATTGGTATGAATTTCTGACAAATTGCAAGAGAAATTTTCTTTCTAAAGCAGCAGCACCCCGAGGGCTCGTTTCCAGCTCAGCTCTGTCTCACCACCCCTCCTAAAAAATGAAGGGAATGGACCGCAAGCAAAACAAAGTGGTTTCTAAAACTTGGAGCATTCGCAACGGTTTCATCAATTGCATTTAAATTTAAAAAAGTATTAAAATATTATTTAAAATGTCCACGTCGGCGTCAACGGTGTCACATAGAACGGTCGGTATCCACATCATCGATTTCTGGCCAAATGGACTCAATTGGTAAAATATGAAGAGATTTAAGATTCAATTGGCATAATTAAAAGATTTATGACTGAATTGGTGTAAGTGTAATACGTTTACGACTTTTTTGTAATTTTCTTTTTTTTTCTAAAAGGAAAATGCCACCAAAAACCTCAAATGATGTCCAATGTGACAAATATCTTAAATTTTTTGTAGCATAAAAAATCTCAAATTATGTCAACCATAACATATTTACCATAAACTCTTTATTGTGACATCAAAATCTCCAAACTCGTATTTGTGTGACATATTTACCATCCATCAAAATTTCGTGAGATGATTTTCCAGTCAAAACGACATCGTTATTGCCTCGTGGGCACATCCACGTCAACACGGTGCAATCTTGATGTAAGGTAATATGTCATATAGGTACAAATTTGAAATTTTTGATGTTACAAAAATATATGTAGGATAAATATATCACAAATGCATAGCTTGAGATTTTTTGTGACTTCTTTCCTATTATAAATAAAGATAGTTAAAAATATATATATGAAAATTAAAAATATATATTTAAAGAGATAATGTGCAAATGTCCAACATTTACATAAATGGAGTAAGCGAATCTCTTGGTAAGATATCTTGGTTATTGGTCCAACAGGGCTGGGAAGAAAGTGCGTCCCGATCATTATAAAATAGACATGATAAAATAGACATCTTTTCATTGTCATACATCGGATAAAGTTTAACTAAGGACTTCTGTAGGTGTCGAGTCATCTTTTCTTTATCTTATTCTTGACAAACTTGGATTTAGCAAGATCAATGCGATGTAACACATCTTCCTACCACACGAGTTCGGTTCACGTCAACAGCGAATATCTGAACCACTCTTATCGCGTTACCTAATTACGACAGATCTCATATCGAGAGATTTTCTATCCGTTAGGATTTTGGTGTAGTTATCGTAAGAGCGTCTGAATTCTTTTAATTTAAATTAAAAAAAATCCATTTCTCGCTTATTTTTATAATTCATAAATCCGAAAGATTCTTGTGCATTCCTACTGATGTCAAAGTTCGATGTCAAATGAGTTTGCGAAATCCGCCACAAAATACCGCAAATCCTTCCACACCGAACCAATTAAAAAATGAAAAGTTTCCACAAATCAATACCTTTATTCGTGTTTCAGGAAAATGATATGGTTTTTGTAGCCTATGATGCAGTATTATGGAACAGCCATCATCATGCGAATGTACGATGATGTATTTGTCTTTGTTGATGTAGAGGACACCCGTGATGAATAGGTTGAGAGGACATAAGTCCTCCGATTCATACACAAAATGATATGGCTTGTGTAGCCTAGTATGGCTTATGTAGCTTGTGATGTAATATTATAGAATAGCCATTTACAGTGATATATTTATCTTTGTTGATGTAGAAGACACCCGTGATGGATGGGTTGAGAGGCATGGCATAGAGGTCTTTATGATTCCGTCTCCCATGAATTGTTGGTGACAATATCTCATTAATTGAGATGCCTCGTTAGTCGAAATGGTTTCTGACCAATAAAAAGTAGGGAATAGATATTCACATGTGTATATCAATGAGCTACTACGTGATCATGAAATTAATAAGTCATATATGTGCATTTGAGTGTTAAAACTAAATATCATATCATGGCTTCTAGTTCTAATTCATTGCCTACATGATTATTGTTAATAATGCCCGACTTACATCTTAAATTAACTTAAATAATATGTTTGGAAAGTGTAAGCGAATACTCGTTGTTTAGAGTAAGTTGATCTTCCTGAAGTGAGCAAGTGATGAAGAAATTTGGCATGGCTGATTTGTCTTTGAAACGACTTTTGTGAATATGTACGAGAATATATGGATCTTGATATGTTTGTAAATCTATGTTGTGATACGTGCTTATAAAAGATGAAACGGTTAACATGTTAGATGTGAGTTGGGTTCCAAGTACTTGAATCATGTAGAATACATGTTTTATTTCCTCAAGTGATAGAATTACTCTATTATGAATATTTAAATAACGAAGATATATTTTACTCTCGTCAAACGAATGATTGTCATTTTCTGAATTATAGTGATTCCTCGAAATGTAATGTGATATCACTCGTTGAATGTTATCATACTATTGTACTCTTGGGTCAAGTAGTAAGATAATCTCCTACCTTAAATCTAGAGATTTCATTTATTCAGATTAGGCTCATCCAAAAAAAATTACAAATTAATCGAGTTTAGAGTACGAGACATTTAAATTAGCGCTATCGAGGACTTGATTAGAGTGTGCAGTAAAAGTAAGCATTTATATTTTGCTTAAGTATTATATATAAAAATATATAATTTGTGTAAATCATTTGAGGTTCATTTTTTTTTTTTGTTAATACCACGAAAAACCCTAAACTGGTACACTTGTGACAGATTTACCCAAAACTATTTTTTTTACCATAAAAAACCTCCAACTAGTACATCTGTCACAATTTTACCCCGGACTATTTTTTTGACCACCAAAAACCCCAAACTGGTACACCTGTGACAATTTTACCCCGAACTAATATTTTAATATTATTTTTTATTTTTTCGAATTTTTTCGAATTTTTTTTAGTTTTTCTTATCTTTTCTTTTTCCTTTCCTTTTCTTTTTTTTTTTCCTTCATTTTTAACCTCTGGTCGGCGAGGTCGGCCCCGCCGGCCGACGGCGAGGTCGACCTCGCCGGCAACTGGCGAGGTCGGCCTTGCCCACCCCTGGCGAGGTTCGACCTTGCCAGTTGCCGGCAAGGGGTTGTCCTCGCCATCGCTGGCGAGGCTTGGCCCCGCCGCAACTGGCGAGGTCAACCTCACCCAAAAGCAGTGAGGTCGAGCCTTGCCAGCGACGGCGAGGATGACCCCTCGCCAGGGGTGGGGCAAGGCCGACCTTGCCAGTTGCCGGCGAGGTCGGCCTCTCCAGCGGCCGGCGGGGTCGACCTCGCCGGACCGGCAACCGGCCAGAGGTTGAAGATGAAGGAAAAAAAAAAGGAGAGGAAAAAGAAAATAAAATAAAAACTAAAAAAATTCGAAAAAATAAAAAAAATAATATTAAAAAATTAGTTCGGGGTAAAATTGTCACAGGTGTACCAGTTTGGGGTTTTTGGTAATCAAAAAAATAGTTCGGGGTAAAGCTGTCACAGATGTACCAGTTTGGAATTTTTTATGGTCAAAAAAATAGTTTTGGGTAAATCTGTCACAAGTGTACCAGTTTAGGATTTTTCGTGGAATTAACCCTTTTTTTTTTAGTCTTTCAAGTTTCAAATTGTATGAAAAATTTCAGATCATGACATATACAATAGAAAAAAAACTCTTCGCGAAAATTTGGATCGGTTATCTATTAAAGAGGAGGAAGTGGGCACCAACTTCAAAGTCCACTTTATAAGGTAGTACAGATGTCGAAGCACTATTTAACATTTACTAAGAATGTGGCCGAATATTTATCCATCAATTTAGTTACCGAGTTCATTGGAAAAGATTACCAAAAAAATCTTGAACCATTTACACATTTACCAATTTAGTCCAAAATCTTTTAATTGTACCAATTAAGTCTTAAAAATTTTTATGTTTTGACAATTGAGTCAATCAGCCAATTTTGACCGAAAATTACTGACGTGGACACCAGCCGTTCTTTGTGGCACGGCTAGCACTGAATTGAACAATTTTTTTTTTTTGAATTTTTTTCCTTTTTTTTCTTTTCTTCTCTTTTCCTTCTTTTATTTTTTTATTGTGGCCGATGAGAGCTGCGCAGTCCTCCCCGGTCACGGGAGAGGGCCACGAAGCCCTCTCTAGTAGTGAGGGAGGGTCATGGCCCTAGCCAGGTCTAGGCGAGGCACAACCCTCACTTGTAGCTGACAAGGGCTTTGCGACCCTCGCCCAAACCATTGCGGCCGCAAGTGAGGCCACCTTACCCAAATCTGACCTAGGATGACCTCACACACAGCCGTGATGGCCTCAACTATGACCGACAAGAGCCCGACAACCCTCGTCGACCATAGTTAAAATAAATAAATAAAAGCCAAATAGAAGAAAAAAAGAAAATTAAAAATAATTATCCACATTAGCGTTGACCGTGCCATGTCAAAAGATTAGTATCTACGTTAGCAATTTCCTGCCAAAATTAGCCAGATTGACTTAATTCGCAAAACATGAAAAAGTTTAGAACTCAATTGACATAATTAAAAGGTTTATGGCTGAATTGATAAAAATACAATAAATTTATGATTTTTTTGGTAATTTTCGTTTCCATTCATTTGCTATGATAAGAAACACATATATAACAATGTTTTTTTTTTATTTTATAATGTGGAGGTCCAAAATCGACCTCAGACAGAAATTACGCCTTTATGATAAACAACAACCGGCTTGAGAAAGAAGGCAGGGAGCAAATGCAAAAAAGAAAAATGAATGGTAAGATATAAGGGGAAAAAAGAAGGAAAAAATAGCTCAAAATCTACTATGTTGATATGCACATCTAATTTGTTGAGCTCACAAATAACATCAATATCTACCGAAGGGGCGACAAATTAAATTTGAATGCATTAACAAGTAATGTTAATCCAGATTGATTTGGCCGATGGGATTCAGAAAAGTTTGCCATCCTCTCAAATAAATAAGCAATAGATGTATATTTAATCACAATGAAGATTGTAATCCTAAATGAATTTTTTTATTAAATGTCGAAAATCGAAGGTCGGCGAAAACACCACTAGCTTATAAAGTGACCCAATAATGGGTAAATAAAATTTCTTTTTTAAATTACAAGACGAAGAATAAATAAACGAAATATAAATAATTTCAAGCATCTTACAAAAATTTATTACATCGTCAGTGATATATTTAAATCAAAAGAACTCTTTTTTATTCAAAAGAATCTCAATCATTTGTTTCTCGAGAAAAATGTTAAAAAAGTCCTAAACCTATTGTATTTGTACCAATTTAGTCCTAAATTTTTTTTAGTGCCAATTTAGTCCTAAACCTTTTGAATTAATGTTAATTCAGTCATTCCGGCTAATTTTGGTTGGACATCGCCAGCCTACGTGGCACGACTAGCGCTGATGTTGAATTTTTTTAATAATATTTTAATATATTTTTCAATTTTTTAATTATTTTTTATGATTCTTTTTTTCTCTTTTTTCTTTTTTTTTTCTTTCTTTCTCCATTCCTCCCTTTGCCGGTGACTGGCCATCGACCACAAGCGATGGCCAGCCACTGGCCAGGCGAGCCCCAGTGAGGGCTCCCCTTGCCAGGGCTTACTCAGGCCACGCCGAGGCTCGCCCGGCCGAAGGCCAGTCACCGGCAATGGGAGGAAGGGAGAAAGAAAGAAAGAAAAAAATCAAAAAATAATTTTAAAAATAAAATATTATTAAAAATTATACACGTCAACATCAACAGTGCCACATAAGCTAGCCGGCGTCCACATTAGTAAAATCCGATCAAAATTAGCCAGAAGGATTGAATTGACACTAGTTCAAAAGGTTTAGGACTAAATTGACACCAAAAAAAGATTTATGACTAAATTGGCACCAATGCAATAGGTTTAGGACTTTTCTAACACTTTTCCCTTTATTTCTCTAACATGCACTTATATACGGTTTATTATTAAATATTTCCTATCCAAAAGTAACCCTTTTTTCGGAAAACAAATTCAAAGCTCGAAAGGTTTTTCTTTCACATATATCACATTCCCACGAATATTTATGCAATTTATTTCCTTACATTATTTAATAGTTCAAATATTCTGCGATTAATTAACTTTGTTTGATTTTTGCAAATGCCCATTTTTTGCAATTCTTTTGCACATTTGGTAGTGCATATATAAGTGTGTGTATATGTGTGTGTATATATTAGGGTTAATACCACGAAAAACCCTAAACTGGTACACTTGTGACACATTTACCCCAAACTATTTTTTTGACCATAAAAAACCCCAAACTGGTACACCTGTGACAATTTTACTCCGAACTATTTTTTTGACCATCAAAAACTCCAAACGGGTACATCTGTGACAATTTTACCCTGAACTTACCACAAAAAACCCCAAACTGGTACATATGTGACAATTTTACCCTGAATTAAAATTTTTATTTTTATTTTTATTTTTTTCGAATTTTTATTTATTTATTTATTTATTTCCTTTTTTTTTTCTTTATCTTCAACCTACGGCCGGTCCGGTCCGGCGACCGGCCAGCAGCAGCGAAGCCGCCCTCGCCTCGCGGCGTCGGGCGAGGCCCGTCCTAGCTGAGTCCGGCGAGGGTGACCCTCGCCGGTAGACGGCGAGGGCCCCTCGCCTCGCTGCGGGCGCGAGGGCCCTCGCCGCGTCGAGCGAGGGTCTCGCCCGCCCGCCAGGTAGGCGATCCTCGCCCGACTCGAGGTTGCCCTCGCCGGTGATCGGGCAAGGCGACCCTCGCTTGCGCTGGGCGGGGTGCCCTCGCCGCGTCTGAGTGTAGGCCGTCCTCGCCCGCCCGAGCAGGGCGACCCTCGCCCGACTCGGTGCGAGGGCGACCACTCACTGCGTCGGGCGAGGGCGCCTCGGCCGGGCCTCGGCGAGAGCTCGCACGGGCGGGCGAGGCTCGCCGGGCGGGGGCGAGGCGAGCCCGCGCTGAGTCGGGCCGAGCCGCGGCGAGGGCGAGGCAACCCTCGCCGGCTAGCCGGCCGAGACGGCGACCTTCGCCGGGAGCGCCGGGCGAGGACGGGTTCTCGCCGACGCCGGCGAGGGCCGCAGCTCTAAGCTAGATCCTGCAAGGGTCGCCCTTCTTAGAGTCGAGCGAGGGTCGCCACTTTGCCGAGTCGAGCGAGGGCGGCCCTCGCCGGTGCGAGGGCGGCCCTCGCCGGCTTCCGCCTCTGGCCGGTCGCCGGACCGGCGACCGGCCAAAGGTTGAAGTGAAGAAAAAGAAAAGAAAAGAAAAAATTCAAAAAAATAATATTAAAAATTAGTTGGGGTAAAATTCACACACAGCACTGGGCCGTGCTTTTACAAAAACATAATTTGCAAAGAATGCACAAGCAATCAGATTGAGGCTATGTTTTTCGTATGATAATTTCCTATATATTATATAAGTGATAATTTCTTTTTTAGAAAGAAAGCAATGCGTTAAGACATCATCGGTGCAGTGAGACTAGGAACAATTCACTTGCATCTGCAGGGAAGGGACCACGTGAGAAGAAGGAGAAGAAGAAGAGGAGGAGGAAGAAGACGGCGGCGGCTGAGACCAGGTCGCACTTCAACTCTGCCGTCGGCCGTGACGGAGATCGAAGCCACCGTCCACCGCCGACGGCGGTGGAAGCGACGACTTTCTTCATTCTTCTGAAGTTGGTTAACCCCTCGGCGTTGTTGACCAAGTTCCCACTATTTTTTCTTTCTTCCATTTTTTCTCACAGCTTCCCTTCATCTTCCCTCTCTTTTCCGTGAAAAACCCCCCAAACCGCCATGAGAACCACGGCCACATGCTCTTTAAATTCCCTCCCTCTCCACCTTCCTCGAGCGAACCCAACGTCACGACGACATGGCGTGCACCATCAACCTCGGGAAAGCCTTAGCGACCGGCAGTTTCCCCTCCTCCAGGCGTGCTCTCTCGCCGAACCTCGCCGCCTCTGTATCCCTCCGCCGTGCCCTTCGCAGCCCGCCGGCGGCCCTGCGTGCGGCCTCCGATGACGACCGGTTCACCGTCCTGGTGGCGGACCAGCTCGGGGATGCGGGGCTGGGGATGCTCAGGGATTTCGCGGAAGTTGACTACGCCGTTGACCTCGCGCCCGAGGAGCTGTGCGCGAGGATCGGCGGGTGCGACGCGCTCATCGTCGGGAGCGAGATGAAGGTGAGCAGGGACGTGTTCGGCTGCTCCCGCGGGAGGCTGAAGGTGGTCGGGATCGCCGGGGGTGGGATCGACAATGTGAACTTGGCCGCGGCAAACGAGAATCGGTGCTTGGTGGTGAATGCACCGAGTGCGAGCGCAACTGCGGTGGCCGAGCACGCGATTGCGCTCCTGACGGCCATGGCCCGAAACATTGCGCAGGCTGCAGTTTCAGTGAAGTCGGGTCAGCGTTTGTTTTATGAATTTCAATCCTTTTTTAGCACTTCTAGTTCTGGCTGTTTGTTCTGTTTGGCATTGTTTAGTATTATATGTTGGGGTTGTTCATACATGGGGAAGGGACTCAAATGGTAACTGTTGAATTGTCTTTCTGCATCTAGTTAATGCATATTTACTTGTGAAAACTTTCATGGCATGAGATACTTTTGTCCCTAAAGTTTTTGGAATATGTTCCATAATCAGAAGTTACTGAA